GGAAACACACAGCCAGGCAGACGAGCTCCGAGCCAGCTCCCATGTCAGAGGATGAAGAGAGCACATCCAGTTAGTCACAGTCAGAGAAACAGGACTACACTGGAAAACAGGCCAAGCTCCAACATCTAGAAACAAAGGTGTTGATGGCAGCAGCACAGCTGATATTTCTCTCCAGGATGGAGTCACAGCCAAACAGGAACAGACCAGATGAAGCTACTATGAGAAAAAGCAGAGAGAGCAGAACGTTAGAGATTGAACTAACAGATTCTGCAGAGTGGGAGAATAGAGAGAGAATGAAGCAGAATGATGAAAAAGGGGTCCCTATGTCCTCCAGCAGTCTAAGCCTATAGCAGCAGAACTATAGAGATAGCTCAGGATAACCTGAGCCACCCTAACTATAAGCTTTATCAAAAAGGAAAGTTTTAAGCCTAGCCTTAAAAGTAGACAGGGTGTCTGCCTCACGGACTAAAACTGGTAGTTGGTTCCACAGGAGAGGAGCCTGATAACTAAAAGATCTGCCTCCCATTCTACTTTTAGAAATTCTAGGAACCACTAGTAAACCTGCAGATTGAGAGCAAAGTGCTCTGTTAGGAACATAAGGAACAATCAGATCTCTGATATAAGATGGAGCTTGGCCATTTAAGGCTTTAAATGTGAGAAGGAGGATTTTTAATCTTTGTAAAACATGATTAAAGAGTGAACGGCTGTCCGTCAAACCCTGCTGTGCGTGTGCTGCTGACACGTATGGTGAAAGCGAGCAGTTCCTGGTAGCTTTCCTGAGTAGGCATGCAGGAGAGCACGTTAGCTCATAAGGTCGCTTCAACCGCACCATATCTGGAACAGATTCCAGAAAATGTCGGTCCATTTCTGAATCCTGTTTTCTCTTCCAGATGTTCTGCTGCTTTTTACTATCGTCTCCCTTTTAAAGGAGTTTGTAGGTGTCCCAGCTTGGGCTGAGGCCATTAGGGCGGAGCCCTGTACCGTCTGCCAATCAGTAGCATTGACAGCTCTTTTGATCACTAGACACAGGGTTTGTTTCTGTAGATGTTCTGCGACCTGCAGGGTGGAATGAGGCGATACAGGGTCTCCAGGTCAGCGACCTTCCTTCCCACCCGCAAATCTGCATCAGATTGATGTCTGTCTGTCCAGCAAATGTAGAAAACATTAGAAAACATGCAAACTGAACCAGAAGAAAGGGTCCGCCCCTTAGGAATGGGGAGCCCTAAGGGGCGGAGCCTTTTCTAAGCCAAAACCAGGTGTTGTTGGTCCACTTTATAAAACCTGGAACTTAATTATATTTCTGACATTTTGAATTGTGGATGGGAAGAGAAACTTCTTCAATCTTGGAAACAAAGTCCAGTGGATTGTTTTAACATTTTTGGAATGACTATGACCTGGATGACTGACAGTCTTCCCCAGCTCTCTTCCAGAACTGCAGTCTTTGCTCCAAGTCCTTCTAAAGCTGTTCTTTTAGGTCAGGACACTGAAGGTCCTCAGCAACCTTTTTAATTTTTTTTTTATTCATTTATTTATTTGAATTATTACAATGAACATTCATCAACATGTCAGCATAAAGCATCAATGTAAATATGCCAGAATTAGCACAACAGCTAGTTTGCATCCGCTGTCCTAAGGCAGGTAAAAATGGTGAACATTAAATAAGACACTACAGGAGAGAACAGAGTGGATACAAACAGATAAGATGCCAATAACATAAAACCATAATAAAATGAGGTTAATAGGCCCATGGAAACAGATCAATTTACCTGTGAACTTTAGACACATGCAGCCATAGAAGTGACTGGAACAACCTAAATCCCTGATTTGGTGTCATGACCCAATTCTTCAGCAACCTCCTCATTAGAGGCCATTGTTTGTAGAATAGGGAATGTTGAGGTTTATCAATAGGCAGGTCCCAGATACATAGAAAGCAGAAATGCTGATGATAATTGTGTCGTCAATGGTTTGATACTTTCCCCAGTTTTTGTACCTGTGATAAAATCTGAATTTTAGGATATCAACACGTCTTTCAGAGGCGTACTGGATCTCCCCTGGATGTGATGGCGAAAGGGCACAGAAGAACTGACCCCTCCCTCCCCTACCTGTGAACACCTGTGGATGCAACCAGAACTGTGGTTAAACTTCCATCTTATCAAGGACATGGCCTGTGGACAGCGATCACGGACAAATTGAACGCACTCATCATAAACACACAGCTAACGTCTCAAATGTCAGATTGACTTCATGTGGCTCCGCCTCCGATGTTCTTTCTGCTGAAATGTTTCTCGTTCCTCATGTGCTTTTCTAATGCTGAGCTTTTTTTTTTTATATCTCAAACTATATCCTGTCAAAATGGTGAAACATGCCCCCCAACCCCCCCAGTATGGAAGAAAAACAGTCTAATTGAAATCTGCCTTTTTTTAATACAGAATTTTAAACACTGAATTTCTAACAACAAATTTTAAAGACTGAATTTTTTAGACATTGAATTCCTTACACTCAATTTTTATCTGTTAAAAATTCAGCTGCAAAAGACCTTTTGTTGAACTCAAGCCAAAGCAATCTACACTCGATAGATTGCTTATTGAGATACTATCTCATTATTTTGATATACTACAGTATCTCATTATAACGAGATAGTATCTCAATCTAATGATACTATCTCATTATAATGAGATCATTTTTTTTTTACAGAGTGGTGGAAACAAGACTGGCTTCTATAGTAAGGAATTCAATGTCTAAAAAAATTCAGTGTTTAAAATGTGATGTTTATATTATGTATGTACGTGTGGTGTGTACACCATGTCACCTGTATTGTTTCATGCTTTGTCTTGTGCATCTGGGCCCTGTTTGCCTTTTTTGTGTATTAGTGTGGTTGTTTATCTGTATGTTGTAAACTTTAAAAACTTAAAATAAAATTTATTTAAAAAAAATAAAAAAATTGATGTTAAAAAAAAGGCAGACTGTTTTTCTTCCATATGAAACAGAAAATTTTGATTACAATGTAAATTGTAGTTAACAATAGAGAGATTGATTAATTATTACTGTGTGGCTGGCTGTTGATTTCCTTTTTTCTGATGAAATTATTTGAAGAGAAAATAAAGATTGGAAATGTACTGCGGTCAGTGGAACAATGTTTTTAATGCTTCCAGCAGTGAAACAATAACAGAACAGTGAAAACATCCTTTGGTGTCCATCGCCTCCAGCTCTACTTTACCTTCATCATCCATGCAGCACAGCAAGAGTCGTCCTGTCAGAGAAAATCCACGATGCAGAACCAAACACAAGTTCTACCATCTTAGAGGAGAGTCGAGAAGGAGCTTAAAGTCTTGGTTTGTTCCAGCCAGATAAAGAAGGCCAACTCTTTGATGAATGTGCTGCAGGAAGTGGACCTGAAGCGTCTCCAGCCCAAAGTTTAGTTCATACATCAGCACCAGAGGTGAAAGGTCCTGAAAGCTGCTGGAGCAGGAGGGGTCCATCGGCTCACTGAAGGCAGAGCGCGATTTCTTCATTCATCAGGAAACTTAAACACTGCAGTGTTTGAACAAGGCATGACTGTTTAGTAATGCTGCAGATTTAACGGTTCTGACTGCTGGCTCGGCTGCATAAAAATGCAACCAGTTACCCCCCCCCCCCACACACACACACATCACTGCACCCCACTTTAGGATCAAGCCAGTCATCTTCTTCCATTTCAGGTGGAGCAGTCCATGCAGGCTGCACTGCACCTTTAAATGACAGACATGATGCATGAAAGAGCTAAAAACCTCTGGGTAAAGGTTGGAGCAAACTCACTGTGGACAATAATAACAACAGCTGTTAATGTTTTACCACCAGGGGGCAACAATTCTTGGCACAGTTTTATAAATCCAAGCACCTCACATCTGATACAGAGCCATAGAGAACCACAGTCTGAACCATGACAATGGTCTGGAACTGCAGTCTGACCTCGCCTGTCTGAAGCTGCATATGCAGCACAGCGGCTTCAAACAAAAGGCATGAAGTTAAAGACATCAGCAGCGCTGCAGGACAGGAGGCTCAGTTGGTTAGAAGAAACATAAAATGGTGCCCAACAGAATGAAGACGACCGTATTCACAGACTGAAAGCCCTCTCACACATTCGGAGGGTTTTCTTTTGGCTCCACCTACAGACTGTTAACAGCAGGGTGGTGTTAGTGTGGAGCAGGTAGACACCACTGCAAAAACCATCTAGATCAATAAACATTTCTTATATTAAGTGTATTTAGCCTTAATCTGAGCAGGTAAATAAGATGGAATAAGTCATTTTACTCTTAAAATAAGACAATTGGGTAATATGCACTTGAAAGAGACAATGCAATTATTTTCTTTTTTCTTATTTGTAATATAAATGGTCATTTTTTTAAGTGTCTGACTTACCTCCTCATTTTAAGAAAAAATGACATTTAGATTTATATTTTTTGCAGTGTGTTGACCTCGATTAGTTTTCAGTTATGGTCAAAAAAAAAAAAATCTGATCTAAAAAAGGTTTTTTAAATAGCGTATCTGCCCTTAATTTAAGCAGGTAAATAAGATGATCAACCAATAAAAATCCGTATTTCTGCTCTAAAATACGACAACTACATATGCTGCATTTAAATAAGATTGTTAATTTTTTTTTCTCTTATAATAAATATTAACCGTCTTATTTCTTTGGTAACTTGTCTTACTTGCTTAAATTGAGGGAACAAACACTTATTTAAAAACATTGCATTTCATTTTTTGCAGCGTAAACCGAATTCCCACCTTATTAAAGCTAAAGCTAGCTGTTAGCATTAGCAGAGCAGTCCTCATTGGATGGTGAGATCAGGTGGTCCTCACTCTGATGCCCTGAAACTCGTCCCTCTTGGCTCCTCCTGCCTCCTCCATCGTTAACATATCTATATTTTATAGTAAATAATCAAACATTTCTGCGTACATACTGATGATATTTCAATAAGGCCGACATACTGGGACGGGAAGAAGAAGGAGAACAAAGCCGCTGGTTTAAACACATCCCACTGTTGGCTGTTTGACTCCAACAAGCAGTTGAAAAGCAGGAGTTTATTGACGTCCACTTCAATTAAAAAAAAGTTACAGGAAGCTTCAACTAAAAAGTACAATAAGCTGTAATGAGTAACTGGATGAGTGTGAAAAATATCCATGTGTTACCGCCATGGTAACCACGGTTTAGTATCAGGGGTGTTCATCATCAGCCCCCCCGTCCTAAAGGAGCCCCCTGATCCTCAGCATGAGGATGAAGGCGAGTGAGGAAGAGGAGAGGCCGTCCCGTTTCCTCGCCTGGCTGCGTCTCACTTATGACTGTGTGTGTGTGTGTGTGTGTGAGCAGCGTCGGCAGCAGCCGAGCAGCCGCAGAGGTCAAAGTTCATCTACTGGACTAATTGGCTGTGAGCAAACGAAGCATCACATCAGGGGTCTTTCCAGACTCCAACCTGGTCTGATTTTCTTCATTTTGGAAATGGTGAGTGTTTGTGTTCGGGGGTGGGGGGGGTTAGCCAAGACATGGGCGGGAGGGGCCGAGGCTCTGCGCCTGGAGGAAAGCCTGGACCACCTCCTGGGTCTGCTGGGGGGTGGTGTTGACGTCCTCCAGAGCGTCTGCTACGGCAAACTGCCGGTCCCTCAGCCGGTTCCAGTTGGACAGTACGTTGTGGTATTCAAAGACCTTCTCGTAGTTCCCCACTGAGTTGTAGAGCTTGATCAGGCCTCGGTAGTCGTACTCCAGGCCACTGTAGCCTTCACCAAACAGCTTCTTCCCTGGGGGGGGGGCATTTAGAAAGAAATGATGATTTTAAGGCATTTGAAAAGGGAAAACAGGAAAAAGGAAGGAAAAACGGAAGAGGAAGGAAGGGAGGGACCTAAGTTAAGGTTCCCCAGACAGACATTTCTAAGAGCCTGATCTACTAAGATCAGCTGCTAAACAGTTTGTTCAAAGCAGGACTTGCTGGCTGACGGTGTAGTCGGCCGGTAGGAGGAGCCGGCTGCCTGTTTTCCTTCTGCTTACCGATGGCGATGGAGCGCAGGTAGAGCCTCTCTGCGTCGTCGTACTGGTTCATGTCGTAGTTGTAGAGGGAGGCCAGGTGACCCACAGACAGAGCCACCTCGTAGTCCTCATGGCCCAGCAGCTGCTCCTTGATCTGGATGGCTTTGATGTGCATCTCCTCCGCCTCCTGGTGGCACAGCCACCCACAAACACACCAAGACAACGAGAGACAATCAGATTTACAAATCCACACCTTGAGGGGCCAGAGTTGAAAAAATCTGATACATGAAGAGCTAACAAGCTGCAGGAACAACAAGCACTTTGAGCTGCTTGGCTGATGATGGAGAGAGAGAGAGAGAGACATCCAGCAGATAACAGGAAGGCCCTTCAGAGCACAGCATGGCTGCCAGAGGAAGCATCCACCATGTGGGGAATGTTTGCAGCCTTTTCAAGGTGGAGATCTACAGGTGAGTTTCTCAACCTTTCTAACCTGTCCTCCACTTTGGTCAGTTTTTATTACCATGAGTCAAAAGTATTGATGATTGTCTGAAAGTGGAACGAACAATAACTGAAAATTAAGACTATTTTATTTAATCTTTTTAACTTGGACAAAGAATGGGCATGTTTTCTCCAAATCAAATTAAAACAACATAAATACAGTCCTGCTCAGCATTACTGGCTCCCCTTCATGTTTGGCATAGCTGAGTGAATATCTCCAGAAATAAATGGAAATGTTCAAAAGTTATATCAGCAAGATCTTTCAATTTAAGGTCCAAAGTAATTTAGCAAAGACAGTTAACATTTTAACACAAATATTTTAATTCCAAAGGACAGAACAGAAAACCAGCTTGTGCACCAATATTGACTCTCCTCACTAATATTTGGCTGCACAGCCTTCGGCAGCAATGAGTCTCCAAACGTCTCTTAGGTTCATCCAGAACCTTCTGGCACTTCCATGGTGGCATTTTCTCCCACTCTTCTTTTGCAATCTGCTCCAGCTCTTGTACATTTGCAGGGTTCTTTTCTCCAATGGCAGATTTCAGCTCTACCCAAAGATTCTTAATTGGACTGAGATCAGGACTCATTGCTGGCCATTTTAAAACGGTCCATCTTTTCCCTTTCCACCTTGCCTGCGTGCTTTTAGAGGTTTGCTTATCTCGCTGGAAGACCCAGGATCTTTGCCTCAAACCACGATATTTTGCTCTAGAATCTCTTGATAATCTTCTGATTTCGTGATGCCTGTGATACGGTCAAGGCCTCCAGTACCAGATGCTGCAAAGCAGCCCCACAGCATTATGGATCCTCCACCATGCTTGATTGTTGGTACGGTGTTCTTTTCTTTCAAGGCTTCATTGCGCCGTCTGTAAACCAACTGTTGGTGTGAATTATCAAAAAGCTCCACTTTTGTTTCATGCGTCCATCAAATGTTGTCCCAGAAGGCTTGAGGTTTGTCCAGGTTCTCTTTTGCGAAGAGCAGTCGTTCTTTTTCATGTCTTTTCTTGGCCTCCGCCCATAAAGCCCCACTTTGCCCCAGGTTGGTCTTTAGATGTTTGCCGAGGTGTTTTTCTACCATTCGCACCAACCGTCAAAGACTTCTGTCATCAATTCTTTCTCTTCCCCCCCCACCCCCCATGTCCAGGGAGGTTCTTGACAGTTCCATGCCTGGAAAACTTCTTAATAACATGACGTACCGTTAAAACAGGGACACCGAGGTCTTTGGAGACGGCTTTATACCCTCTGGAGTTCTTGTGCTTACAAATAATAGCATTTCTGGTGTCCTTAAAGCACCAACATGATCATTTATTGGTTAATTCATGTCACATGTGTGGAGGCAGTTCATCACGAGTGATCTTCATTTGTGATTTGCAACAGATGAGCCTAAGTAGGTTTTGATACTGATTTGCCGCAGAGTGCCAATACCACTGCCATGGTAAACGTTAGGTTTTTCTTTGTTTTCCTCATAATCATGATCTTTTTTAATGTTTTTTATCTTTTGCTGTTTTGCATCAAGCACATGCTATCAGCAGTAAAATGTTTTTTCACTTGATGAATTTCCTTCAGGAAGTATTCCATTTAATGTACATAAACTTCAGGGAAGCCAATAAAGGTGAGCAGGACTGTAGGTTACCTGGAAGTTAGTAAGGTAAATAAAATCAGATTATAAACCTGCCTTTATAACACTGGAAGACTAACTCCCCTATAATCACATTTAAACGTGAGGAATTGGGACACAAAATAATAGATTGCCTCTATTTTACTTTGATTTCATCCCTCAGAAACCTGAGCGGCTTTGATGAGCTCTGATAGCTCAGTGAGAAGAACAGGATTTCAATGATTATCTTTTTACAGCTTTTAGGGAAATAATCCCTACAGGTGCAGATCTCTGCTGGCTGCATCCTCCACCAGAGAGGGAATTAAACCAACAGCCTCTATCTATATACATACATATAGGAAGACATCATGAGCTGCAGCACAGCAGCACTGTCCCAGGCCACGCCCCCACCCACCTTAAACTTCCTCATGGACTGGTAGAGCCGCCCAAGGTTGCCGTAGTGTTTGGCTGTCTGAACGTTGAATTCCCCAAAGGCCTTCTTGGCCAGCTCCAGTGAGGAGAGGTGAAGGTCGTGGGCCTCCTGCAGGAGGCGCTCTTCTGTTTCTTTATTGTGACAGTCGATGGCGATCTCCTCCAGAATTAGTGCTGTTAGAGAAACAAATCAAGCGTTTAAACCTTCCCTTCATCTATTTCATTTCCTTAGCAGGAGAGACGCCTGGAGAATCAACAATTGGATGAACTTTGCTGGTTTTCCTTAGAAACTTTCAAGCTTTAAGCTGAATGAATGATTGATTCAATCATCTGTGAAGACAGGATGTGAATTAGAGTAATAGAAACAAAAATAGAATTTATTTAGCAATTTGTCTCGACTGAAATGCTGATGAGCGGCAGCAAGGGGGACCAGACCACATTTTGAATTGAACAATCTTCCTGGATGGGAAGAGAAACGTCTTCAAATTGTTTTTTAATTTTTTTTTTTAATGACTATGGTCTGGATGACTGAGAACCTTCCCCAGCATATAGACCAGACCAGAGCGTCTGTGTCCTACGGTGTCCCTCACACAGAGGACAGCAGCAAACCGGGCTTACCTTTGACTCTCTTGGAAGATGCCAACAGAAGATGGTCCTCAGGCAGGATATGGGTGATAATGTCGATGGCACGTTCTGCATGGAAACTGGGGGACAAGCAAAGCATCAGATCCAAACGTGTCACATGATCTCATGTTAGAAAGAAACAGGGATAAACACTTCCAAGAACAGGAAATATCCCAGAAAAAGTTGTTTACAGGCTGAAGAGAAGCTGATCTGAGTCAGAGAGGTCAGAGGTCAGAGAGCTGCAGATCACAGGGAGGTGGTCAGACCCAGACCTCCCTCTCTGCTCTAACATCAGCCTCTCTGGAACCAAACCACGTCTCAGTGGTTCTACAGGCTGGTTATCCACTGGTTGAATGAATCCAGTCACTGACTTTATCTGCAGGCTTCTGTTTAAACTCATCAGGTTGGAATGAGAGAAGAGACAGAGGAACTAAATACTGAAATAATCTGCTCCTTAAGCTCACAGCTGAATTATCAAAGCAGGACTTTATGCAGGATGCTGTCATAAACAGTTTCCCAATCTGTGCTGGACGACGCAGACTGGGTCAGATCCTCGCTGCACTGCGTGGATAAACGGGACGGAGACGTCCTCGAGGTCCAGCAGTCTGTAAACATGAGCCACGTCCAGCATAAACGTTCAGGAACAGGAAGCAGCAGCATAAAGAGTCTATTTTAGGCTTTAACCAAAGCTTTTCCTATGAACTAAGCAGGAAACTTGATGGATTAAAAATTGGGAGGGGCTTATTTTTTAAAACGGCTGAGAGGCGGAGCTTTGGTGGCCATAAAGAAGTGAAAGTGCTTCATGATCCTGAACCCGATGACACATCCAGGTTCTAGTGCTTCAGCAATCATTACGGTTTAACCGCCTCCCGTCGTCATGGCAGATCTGCTCCCTTTAAAGGAGCCATAAATCCTCTCTGCTTCAGGAAATAAACCATTTAAAACCCACAGTGGAGAAGAAGTGCTGATAACTTCTTGACCCTCCCTCCCGTCTATTAATCCCAGTTTCCTCATCCTTCAGGGCGTTGAACATGCAGCGGTACGTTGAAAGCAGGAGCAGAGAGACGGACCTGAAAACATGAGTGTAAAGAAGCGCCAGCAGCAGAGCTTTATACTCACAGAGCGTTGTCGAATTTCCCAGAGCTGTACTGGTGAACATACGAGGAGTAGGCCAGATCTTCATGGGCTGTGGCCACATGGATGTTCTTCCCCCCGAACACAGACTGCCGGATGTCCAGGGCCGTCTAACGACAGGCAGCAGTGCCGTGAGGATTACACAGGCTCAGAGCGACATCACACACTGATAGGCAGCTTACCTGGTAAATCGCAACCGATTGGCAAATGTTGTCCACGTTCAACAAGTAAAAACCATAATCTAGCAGCGTGTCGGAGTACTTGGGATGCTTGTGTCCGAAATGCTCCCTGGAAGGCAGAAAACGGAGCGTGAAGATGCGTGACGGAGAACAATGTTTGCTCGATCAGACGCAGCAGGTTACCTGGCTAGAAACACCGCGTGTTTGATCAGCTGCTCCGCTTTTCTAAACTCCCTCTTCACCACGCAAGCCTGCAGCAGGGAGACAGGAGGGAGACAGGAGGGAGACAGGAGGGAGACAGGAGGGAGACAGTAGGAAGACAGGAGGGAGACAGGAGAAGGACAGGAGGGAGACAGGAGAAGGACAGGAGGGAGACAGGAGAAGGACAGGAGGGAGACAGTAGGAAGACAGGAGGGAGACAGTAGGAAGACAGGAGAAGGACAGGAGGGAGACAGGAGAAGGACAGGAGGGAGACAGGAGAAGGACAGGAGGGAGACAGGAGAAGGACAGGAGGGAGACAGTAGGAAGACAGGAGGGAGACAGGAGGGAGACAGGACGGAGACATGAAGGAGACATGAAGGAGACAGGAGGGAGACAGCTTTACACCCAAACCACCAACCTCAATGACTTTTCCTCACATTTCCAAAATGCTGACGAAAAATAAGCTTTCTTTAACCCCTTGAACCCTACGGACCCACCGGTGGGTCCAGCTGCTACGTGACCTTGTAATTTTACCAAACCCCCAGTATTGACATATTTGGCACAGTTTGGTGACATTTATGGATAAATGTGCCAAAATGGCCTCTCCGCCTAAGAAATTTCTAACTAATACCATTCTAAAATAAATATGATTCATCTGATTGAGTCCAAATTTGGTATATTTTTACACAACATTTAGATTTAAAAGTCTGTACTACTTTTTGTGCTATAAATAATATTTTGGTAGTGTTTTGCAATGTTTATTTCAAAGAAAATTTTGGCGAGGTTAAAAAAATGCAAAATATTTTGTATTTTGTCCCTAATATTTCAGGCAGGGTCAAAGCTACAATGGTGCTGACACCAGAAAACCATTCTATGACATCTTACCTTTACAGACGTACCAAAAGTTTCTTCTTAAATCTAATAGCTGTGAGGCTATAAGTTATTTACTTTTGTGTGTTTTTGTCAGGCAGAAATGTATTTATACCCCCTTAGGGTGTAAGAGGTTAACCCATAATAATGTGACTTCAGCATCAGCAGCTGGATCACCAACATATCGATGTGCAATAAATGACATTTGGTTTCAAAGAATGAATGAATCTGTATGGTTGGACTGAATGTTTGCTGTAAATAAGCTAAATCAGAGACTAAGTGATGCGGCTGGATTATCTAAAGCCAGAATAAAAACACAGGCAGGGTTTTACCTTGGACGCTTGTCGGAGAACATCTACAACTACTTTGACCGGCAGCCCTGGACTAATTTCCTTCATAGCCTCTATGCACCACCTGTATGCCTGGGAGACGAGCAAGAATTAGAAAACTGCTTCCAGGAGTTTCCAGGCTGCAGTGAGCTGGTCACACTCCCTACCTCGTCGTAGTGGCTTTTGGCGAAGAGCAAGGCACAGAGCTCGCCGTACAGCGCCGCTTTGTTGGCCTGATGGCCGTGTTTGGCTAGTTTATCCATGTAGGACTGAGCAAGCTTGAACGTCTCCTCCCCAAGGTGGTACTTGCAGTTTCCGTTGCGGACATGAAGCAGCCTAGAACAAGAGGAGGGACAGGGTTTATACAGGAAGGACTAACTCTAATTTACTGCTTTTTAATGCGCTTAGAAATTATTTTAATGCCATCAACAAGCACCCATGACTCACACTATCTCTCTCTCTCAGAGAGAGAGACATCGGGGCATTGATGGTAAAGATGATAAAGATTTCACTGCTAATTCTTACCAATGCAAAGTAGAAAGTTTGTAAAGTAATTAAAGAACAAATGAATGAGAGGCGGAGGTCAGAGATGCATTAGGCCATGGTGGCAGCTTTGGCTGGACTCACCTGACGCAGCATTCCACGGCTCGGTAACAATGCAGCACCTCGCTGTGGAGCGTGCACAGCTGTAGGCACGATAGAAACACTTTCTCTGCATCTCCATACCAGCCAGCATCGGACAGAAAGCCTCCTGGAAGCACAGAGGAGAGGCTCAGCGCCACACATGCAGCTGCTTCTGCACGACCGCAGCCTTCAGGAACACGTCCATCATCCATCATCCATCATCCATCATCCATCATCCATCATCCATCCATCCATCCATCATCCATCCATCCATCCATCCACCCATCATCCATCCATCCACCCATCCATCCATCCACCCATCATCCATCCATCATCCATCCATCATTCCATCCATCCATCCATCCAACCATCCATCCATCATCATTCCACCCACACATCCACCCAACCATCCATCCATCATCATTCCACCCACACATCCACCCACCCACACATCCATCCATCCCACCCATCCACCCAATCGCCCGCCCACCTATCTATCCATCATCCATCCATCCACACACCCATCCGCCCGCCCATCCATTCATCATCCATACACCCAATCGCCCGCCCGCCCATCCATCCACCCATCCACCCACCCACCATCCATCCATCCATCCCACCCATCCACCCACCCAATCGCCCGCCCACCTATCCATCCATCATCCATCCATCCATCCATCCAACCATCCATCCATCATCATTCCACCCACACATCCACCCACCCACACATCCATCCATCCCACCCATCCACCCAATCGCCCGCCCACCTATCTATCCATCATCCATCCATCCACACACCCATCCGCCCGCCCATCCATTCATCATCCATACACCCAATCGCCCGCCCGCCCATCCATCCACCCATCCACCCACCCACCATCCATCCATCCATCCCACCCATCCACCCACCCAATCGCCCGCCCACCTATCCATCCATCATTCCATCCATCCATCCATCCAACCATCCATCCATCATCATTCCACCCACACATCCACCCACCCACACATCCATCCATCCCACCCATCCACCCAATCGCCCGCCCACCTATCTATCCATCATCCATCCATCCACACACCCATCCGCCCGCCCATCCATTCATCATCCATACACCCAATCGCCCGCCCGCCCATCCATCCACCCATCCACCCACCCACCATCCATCCATCCATCCCACCCATCCACCCACCCAATCGCCCGCCCACCTATCCATCCATCATCCATCCATCCACACACCCATCCGTCCGTCTATCCATCCATCCATCACCCATCCATTCATCATCCGTCCATCCACCCACCCACCCATCCATCCATCCACCCAATCGCCCGCCTACCCATCCATCCATCCATCCATCCACCCATCCGTCC